CACCGTAAACGCATAAATTCGAAAACGCTCTCCAAAGTGGATAAATTTGAAATCGCCGTTTATGCGTCTTCGTGTGGACGGCCGTAAACGTATATTTTCGTAAACGCTGTGAAAACGCTGACGTCAGATGTCAGCGCCAGTCTCTTTTATCGAGTGCGTTTCCAAGATGGCGTACACACGAGTGTTGAGCTGTGTCATGCTTGCGCTCATTTCAAGCATAATTGCGAGCATTCAGTTGAATCATGCAATAATCGATATACAGGAAAACTACAAAAGAAGAAGACTAAACCTCTCAAGATTGTTATCCACAACTACAAGCACTTTTACTCTAGTAAAACGACTTAGATGCAGACGTGAGAGCAAAGAGAGAAGATTCTGGACCAGACCAGGTCGTACAAGCGCCTGGTGGAACAACTTTGCCGATCAAGTGGTGATACCAGAAGAGTGGAAAGAGAACTTTCGGTGTATGACATCGTTTTATGCGTTTACGAGCGTTTTCGTGTGGACGGGTTAAAACGCTACGTAAACGATGATCGTTTTCGTATGGACGGAGATAAAAATATGCGTTTACTAGCGTTTGCGTTTACAATCGTCTTCGTGTGGACGGGGCCTCAGATAGTGGATCGTTTTCGGAAGTGGTTATATTACTTGGTCTTTGCAAATGAAATAGAAAGGACGACTTCCATGTTGCAAAACTCTTATTATATATGTCATTGTCGAAACAATGGATAATACTACTCTTAAAAGGGTTATGGTCTACAATCGACGAAATTGATCTATAGAATTGAGTGTAAACAAGAGAGAATGATATAATTCTCTCTTGGTGTAAAATAGAAAAATCGAAAGGTAAATTCTAATCGAATATTACTTAAATCCTTTTAGTGTAGTAGTATTGTAATAGGCTATTTCAAAAATTTCGAGTTGCCTCAAGTGTCTGTTTCAAAGTGAGGCTAAGCGCGAAGCTGCTGATATGGAAACAACTCATTTTCACGACAAAGGTCTTGCACTTAGCCTGAAAGTATAGTTTTTGGAACTGGGAAATGGCCTATCCCTATTCATTTATTTATTTCTCTTTATCTTTTCATCTATTTATTTAGCTATGTTTTATGCATGTATTCAGTTGGGGGGAAATATTCTTTGAAAATGTTTATATATCTATTGAAACCGAAATCATTAAATCTAAAATGAGGGTTAACCGCTTTGACTGGCAGGTGTAAATGAATCGCCCTATGTAAGGGAATCAGTGTATTCCAGATTCCAGGTAGGAGGACTCCCGGCAGTCTTGGTCAGTGGAACTTGGATTCTAGACTGCAATCGTCGGTGGATTACGGGATTCCTTAAGTTCTATTCCGGATACCACAAGCACAATTTTCCCGTTTTTTCCTCAATGAAAAATTTCTTACTTTCCCTTACATGGGGCCAGCTAAAAAAATATTAAGAATAAGCTTAAATAGACCTGTTTAGACTTGGAAGAATCATTGTGCTAGATTTGTTAGCGAAGCAAGCACACACCCTTTAATGGAATAAACCTCGTGTTCTCTGCGTGCTTGACGCGCCCTGGTTCAGGCAAAGGACAACAATAACAGCAACAAATTTTATTGAAATTAAGCTGAAATTAAATGTATAACTAAGTACATTACTTTCCCACCCGCAAATAGCTGAATTAAGAACTAATCGAGGCGTGGGGAGCTAAGGACATGTTACAAATGGAAGGTTTATCTATAGATGGGTTAAACAACAATAAAGACACTACAATACAATAAATAGAAAGAACTAACATAAAATAAAGAAAGTCAATAACAATTACGAAGAGAGACTAACATAATGTGTTAAACAACTTAGGCATTATATAGTAAACGATAACATGAGACAAATGTTAAACGAAACATATAAACGAAAGCCGAAAGGACAATTAAACATCCGATTTATTAAGAAGGAAGGAAAACTTTACAGGGCACTTAACACACGTCCGTCCATCTTGGTTAACTCACGTGACCCACAAAACCCTCAGTCACACACGGAATGTTTTATGAGGAGGTGAGGAACTGGAAACCCTACTGACCTCCGAAGGCTGATTAGCGCTAACCCGGGGTTGATTTTTAATCCGGGTTTCTTTTTCCTTGATGTAAATGCATTTTTTCGAATCATTTTCTCTATTCTTTGTAGAACATCTATCAAAATGTAGAGAAAAACAGCCTAGTCCCTAGGCGTTCTCGGCTCGGTCAATCCTGGACTCTACCGTGAGCTGTGACGTCACCGAGAGATACACGCCGATACTCGCCCGCTCTTTCCTAGACTTCGCGCGGACAACGAGGCAAGAGAGAACGCCTAGGGACTAGGCTGAGAGAAAAATATGATTCAACTGAATTTGCTTTTTAAGCTTTAATATCTGGGAATTTAGGGGCCTTTTTACATGAAAGGTGGGGGACCCCAGGTAGGTTTGGTAACATGTGGCGGGTTACCCCACCTAACGAGTAGACGTGATCCCATCAAAATGACAGATAATATGGACAGGCCGGTTACCCCACCTAAGCGGATTACCTCACCTTCCTGGGGTCCCCCACCTCCATGTAAACAGGCCCTTAATGTCGCACTAACCCTGCGTTATCTTAACCCTGCTTTGAACAACTAGGCCCAGGGGATCCTCTATTCTGTGCTAGGAAAGGAGACAAAGAAAAGGCAAGTAACAAAATTCTTTCTGTACCAACAAGGGCGGGTGGGTACGGGAAGGGTGGGTAGAGCCGATGTGCAAGCCAGAAGCCCATAGTTTAAGCCCCGCCCTGACCGCTAACTCAACTTGTTCTGGTAAGAGAACATAAAAGCCACATTCTCAGTAGTTCCGAACTCAAATCCTCGTGTAAACAGCTAACTGGTTTGCCTCCAGCCAGTTCGGATTCTTAATCTTGTTATGTTTCTTGTCAAAATATTTGTTTCAGTCATTCTCTCAACCCACTTTGTACTATGCTTTGCACTGCCGACTGAAAATAAATCGAGGAAATTCATTTATTTTATTTTTTTATTTTGAGCAAGAGCCAAGTGTGCTTTGAGATGTTGATTAGTATGGTCCTCCTTTCAAAAAGGGGACGTCACCGATGGTTCGTTTCCCTGGCCCCAAACAATACTAAAACAATTGGAAGAATGACATGTCATTGTTTCCTGCGACCAATCACGAGAAACCTTACGAG